AGTGACTCCCTACCAATCATGATCATAAATTGTCGGATAACACCATTATTGGGCAAATTTGTGAATACGGCAATTTGGCTCAACCGGACAAATGATTGCCTGACACGTGCCGCTTCACGGCACTTGTCAGCCAATCATTTGCCCGGTTGAGCCAAATTGCCGTTATTCACAAATTTTTGCCCAATAATGCATACTTATTTTCTTAGAACCTCACATAGAAACCTCACATAGGTTTAAAAAAACTGCGAATGAGCATAAGATTATTTCTATCTAAAATTAATTCTTGCCTTTATCGTTGTCGTACAGTACACCGAAAAGTCAAATGGAAGGAAACACGAAGGAAACACGAGGTTAAATGGATGCACCAGGATGGATGAAGGGAGATTTAATAGTAACTTAGTGGTATCAAAAAAATCAACAAGTGAACCTTTATCTAACATTAGAGAGTTAAAGTAGGTGTAGGTATAATATTGTAACCCAAACATTTATTACAGTAATATGTTAGGGCAGAAATACATCTTGCGTCAGGTGACGTTTCTTCGCTTGTGCTATAATGAGATACTGTGAATTATTCAAGTGTAAGTTTTTGTTTTTTATATGCGATTGAATTTTATGCCAGATATAGATTGAATTCTTTCACTTCGGATTCACCCGTTCCACCGACAGTTATTCCTTAGATTTTTAATCCTACTTCAAAATTTAATTGGGTTAGGCTTAAATGTCGAGAAATGAGATCCAATGGTTTTAAATTGTTATAGTTCAAAAAAATTCTTACATATTTTTTTAAAAAAAAGAGCCTAACAAGTTGTAATATTTTTAACGTTATAGTATTGCCTCGTGCTGTAGTATTAATAATTCTGCATCGTAAATTAAGTGGTAATTTTTAATTATAAAGTGCTATGTATCGCTGCGAAATAAAGATTTTTAATAAAGTTATTTATTGATAAAAGCTTGTTTTGGAGTAAAGAGATATTCTTTTAAAGTTTAGAAAAATATTGACACCACAGTAAACAATCATGAGATTTTACCAGAATTTGTGACCTTGATAAATGCACTTTTTCTTATTGTTCTCTAAGTGCGCATCATTAATGTTTCGTTCCAAGAACGTGTACTTATAGGGGGGGTTTTACTGTATTAAATGGACCCAAAAAAACCATCTTCCAGGTATACAGCATTACTGTTGTTATTATGATATCTCTTTCATTCATAACTTTATTGAACGTAGGAATCGTCTTCAATATCAGCTGATAATTTGCCAATTAAGTGTTCTAAATGTTCATCACTAATTACGATTTTTAGATTATTGATGCTGCTTAAAACGAATCAATTTGTTTGCATGATGATAATTGTGGGGGCTGATGCTAAAATTTCGACTATTTTATTATTAAAATTTTTTAAATTTTTTTTGGGTGCACTTTTTTATTGTCTTTATATAATAATAGTTTGATTAGAGTTTAGGGCTAGGGTTTGTTAATTAAATTGTATAGGTGGGTAGTAGGTTTTATAGATCCAAATAGACCCCAAAATTTCAGCATCAGCCCACACATTAATTTTTAAATTCACTCTGACATTTCAAAGATTTCAATAATTAAAATTTTGTTTTTTGATTTGAGATTTTTGTTATTTCGAAGAAAATAATGATTTGGCTTATTTTGTATTATTATATAGCATGATGGTCGTTATTTATGCTTTTTTAAAAACCTTTTAACTCGTATATGTCGTAAAAGATATATATATCGTGTTTTATAAAAAATGCAATATTGGTTATACCATTGTGTACAAAATATTCAAGTTTACGGTCTTAAGATGCACTATTGATGCTTTTATTTAATAAACACCTTTTAATCAAAAATTTTCTTTATATGTACGCATAATTTTGCTACTGTAATATTTCAAAAAATCCTATTGTCATTTTCAATACTCTTAACCATTGCTGTATATCCAAATTCAAAATGGCAATCTTTGATTTTAAGCGTATAATTCAAATCAAGTCGTTAGCATTCTTAGTATTAGTCTGTTCATAATCATTTGAATATGTATATAATTTTATTTTTAATATTGTAGTATAAATTTAATTTTCAAAGTTTACACATTTTCTTATTATCGATAATTAGTAAACCTCATTATTTGTATCTGAGTAAATTCGATTATGTGTATCTGGACGAACTTGGTGCTTTATATCAGAGTAATCCTGACGATTTGTATCAGAGCAAGTCTGATTATTTGTATCTATTAGTGGATCTGACATTTTTGCCCTGCGTTTTCGATACAACATAAAGCCAGCTACCGCTATTACGGCAACAAAAACAAAGGAACCTAACACACTACCCACTATTACACCTGTATTGGACGATGGCCTAGACGTAGGTGATGTAGGTGCAGGTGTAGACGAAGATGTATTGTTTGGACCTCCTTGGATTGGATTTGGTTGAGAACCTGAAATAATAAAGTTAATGAATGGATCAATCGAACTCATGGTGATATCAGAAATTGCTATTCCTGCTATTCTTCCATTTTTTATTAAGTCAGTTTTAGCACTCAACGATTGGTAATCTTCATAAAAAACAACATAGTAGTTTGTTGAAGACGAAATTTGTTGGTAAAGACATGATTGTTTCGCATTGTTAACAAAGTCATAGCTCCATGATGATGATGATGTTGTTGTTAGATTTGTAGAACAAGAAGAAGATTTTAATAAATTACTTAAAGTTCCCCATGACCAATATGCATATGATGATAATCCACATTGATCGTTAATCTGTTCATCAGGCTTAGGAATCGTAGAAATTGAGCCATTTCCTGTATTTACTATTTGAAGGTGTTCATTTTCAATGTCTGATTTAATATCATTTGAAGAAACCATTTCGATAATGCCCCCAAATTAAATGCCTAAAATGAGTTTTGAACTATCTATAACAGCACTCCAAGAACTCAAAATTTGTGATATTTTGTTTGTTCCAGCGCTTGCAGTCGAGTTATTTATATCTATATTGAGATGAAATGCCTAAAATTTTATAAATAAATAAAATAAATCTTTATAATATTATTTGCTATGCAAATAAGCAAGATTATATTTACCTGAATATTTATAAAACTAATGCTTAAATTCTTTAAGTTGAGGCTATTTTGAGAATTTTGGGAATTTTGAGAAGTTGGTGGAGGATATTGACCTGCTGTCATCATTAAAGTCTTATTGCCTATTTGTGATGATAAGCCATTTAGGAGACTTGAATAAACAGGATAAAAATTGGGGACACTAGGATTGCACAGCCCCGCCAGGGGTCTAGACACTTTTGCAGTAACGTGACGTGGCGCATAGAAAATGACCAATCGGAATTCGTAA